TACTGTTGTCTCCCGTGACCTGTACATTACTGTTCTCTCCCCTGACCTGTACGTTACTGTTGTCTCCCCTGACCTGTACGTCACTGTAATCTCCCCTGACAAGTACGTTACTGTTATCTCCCCTGACCTGTACGTTACTGTTATCTCCCCTGACCTATACGTTACTGTTATCTCCCGTGACCTGTACTTTACTGTTGTCTCCCCTGACCTGTACGTTACTGTTGTCTCCCTTGACCTGTATGTTACTGTTATCTCCCCTGACAAGTATGTTATTGTTGTCTCCCCTGACCTGTACGTTACTGTTGTCTCCCCTGACCTGTACGTCACTGTCATCTCCCCTGACAAGTACGTTACTGTTATCTCCCGTTATCTCCCCTGACAAGTACGTTACTGTTGTCTCCCCTGACCTATACGTTACTGTTATCTCCTCTGACAAGTACGTTTCTGTTGTCTCCCCTGACAAGTACGTTACTCTTGTCTCCCCTGACAAGTATGTTACTGTTATCTCCCCTGACCTGTACGTTAATGTTGTCTTTCCTGACCTGTACGTTACTGTTATCTCCCCTGAACTGTACGTTACTGTTATCTCCCCTGACCTATACGTTACTGTTATCTCCTCTGACAAGTACGTTTCTGTTGTCTCCCCTGACAAGTACGTTACTGTTATCTCCACATATGTTACTGTTATCTCCCTTGGCCTATACGTTACTGTTGTCTCCCCTGACAAGTACATTACTGTTGTCTCCCCTGACAAGTACGTTACTCTTGTCTCCCCTGACAAGTATGTTACTGTTATCTCCCCTGACCTGTACGTTACTCTTGTCTCCCCTGACCTGTACGTCACTGTTATCTCCCCTGACCTATACGTTACTGTTATCTCCCGTGACCTGTACGTTACTGTAATCTCCCCTGCCCTATACATTACTGTTATCTCCCCTGACAATTACGTTACTGTTATCTCCCCTGACAAGTATGTTATTGTTGTCTCCCCTGACCTGTACGTTACTGTTTACTCCCCTGACAAGTACGTTACTGTTGTCTCCCCTGACCTGTACGTCACTGTTATCTCCCCTGACCTATACGTTACTGTTATCTCCTCTGACAAGTACGTTTCTGTTGTCTCCCCTGACAAGTACGTTACTCTTGTCTCCCCTGACAAGTATGTTACTGTTATCTCCCCTGACCTGTACGTTAATGTTGTCTTTCCTGACCTGTACGTTACTGTTATCTCCCCTGACCTATACGTTACTGTTATCTCCTCTGACAAGTACGTTTCTGTTGTCTCCCCTGACAAGTACGTTACTGTTGTCTCCCATGACCTGTACGTTACTGTTATCTCCCGTGACCTGTACGTTACTGTAATCTCCCCTGACCTATACATTACTGTTATCTCCCCTGACAAGTACGTTACTGTTATCTCCCCTGACAAGTACGTTAATGTTAACGATATTCATTAAATCAGGTAGATTTTTATTAGGAATCTTTTTAGCCCTAATAACATTTCCATTCATTTACATATAGCCAATATCTATTTCCGTTTTCCAATTCAGGATACATTGTGGCAATTGAGAACTGTCTTAATAATGACTATAGAATGACTTTGCAAAGCACTGAGCCTGTGATTATATAAAGGTCATGACCTGTAATTTAACCAAAGAAATGTTATCTACCTGAGGGGAGTGAGGTACCTGTAGATGATATAGATCTTAATTATCAGGAATGAGGATCCAGATCTTAAATGACTAGCTTCATGTAGTTACAGCACCCTGTGTTGTGTTTCCAATGAAGATTAGTTCCCGTTTGTTTGGCATTTACTATCACAGAAAGAATTATGCAAAAGAATTAAATATTCCTTTCTTCTCTCTCAAATCATCTCTGCTATGGGTGTTTTCTCCAAGCCATGCATTGTGTAGGAGGGAGCCACTTTCACCCACTATGCTACCAGAAATTGTATTTGTGTTGTTATTCTTGTCTGTAATATTACAGGGAATAGCAAATACTAAAAGGAGAGAAGCAACTCCTGAATCAGGGTTTCCATAACTATATTCGGCCTGCTAGGGAGTTAACTCATAAACAAAAATCACTGGTATAATGTGAAGGTAGCATACATCCTTAAAACGCTTTTAATTGAGATTTAAAAAAAATATATTTTTTTTCATGTTTTGATATCTTCCCTTTCTCTTCCGACTATCGTTTGTAGGGAAGTACCAACATTTTAGTTTGCCCTTGCTTGGTAACGAGTATGGGTCTCACTGGATCGTTCCGTGTACCACAGCTGCTGCGACAGCCTATCCTCATCTGAGGAGCTGTGTGACCTGGATGGGCCTAGGACATTTCGAATCTCAGAGGGCCTGGTAAGTGGCAACTTACCCCCTCACGTTGACCGAACACCGACTTCGTCAGTGAGTGTAGACGATAAACCGGTTACCATTCTACAACTGACCGTCTTGCAATTCAATGCACTGCACCACAGGGACCTGATAATGTGTTACAGCTATATTTGGACCTAGCTAGGGAACTGTTGCCCAAGGCCGAAGGTTTCCAGGACTAATCTCAGGGATTCTTATCATATTTTGCATACATAAACAGTACGATGTGTAGTTGTGTATACAACTCTTTTTTTTCCGTGTCAATCAACCAAGATGGCCGCCTCTGCTCTGATTGGCTGAAATCATATCCATGCAGTAGTAACATTCGTTCTATTTGACGGAACATAATGAAACTTGTTGAAAGGAACGATAACGTCACAGCGCTTGTTTTCAATATTTTTTTAATTTCACTTTGGATTCAAAATGGCACCCAAATGCAGGCTTTGGATTGGTGGAATTTTAATATCGTCCAATTTCAATGAAATTTGGTATGTTGGTGCAGTATGCCACTATGAACAAAACTGTGGTGTTTGTATTGTGAAAAAACAAAATGGCTGCCATTTCCTGGCATCTGATTGGTCAAAATTTTAATGTCGAAATCATATCGCCAGTAATATCATTCGTTCTAATTGATGGAACATAATGAAATTCGGTGAAAGGGATGATAACATATCACAGGGCTTGTTTTCGATAAAAAAATATTTCACTTTTGATTCAAAACGGCTTGCCAAATGCAGGCTTCTGATTGGTCGAAATATAAATATCGTCCAATTTTCATGAAACTTGGTATGTAGGTGAAGTATGGCACTACGAACACATATGCGATGCTCGTTTTGTAAAATAAAAATGGTTGCCATTTCCTGGCCTCTGATTGGTCAAAATTTAAATATTGTCTGATTTTCATGAAATTTGGTATTTAGGTATATCATAGGTCACTGGTCACTTTCGAAACATGAGTTTTGAAATATTATTAAGTGGTGGCCAAATTCAGGCTCCTGATTGGTCGAAATTTAAATATCGTCAAATTTTTATGAAATTTGGTATGTAGGTGAAGTATGGCACTTCTAACACAATTGCAGTGTTCGTTGTCTGAAAAAACAAAATGGCTGGGTATTTAGCAGTGGAGGGTTGACTTCCGCTATTGCTCGCAATTGCAATTCTAGTTATTCTTCTTCTGGGTCCACCGTAAAAGGTTTCTGACACATTTCTCAAAAACTAAAGGATGAAACTACAAGAAACTTTACAGAAGTGTTCATCAGGGGGTGTGCAAATGACCTTTCATTTTCTGATCGGTCAACAAAGATGGCCGCCACGGCCTCGGATTGATCAAAACTTAGATATTGTTTGATTTTGATGAAAATTGGTGTATAGGGGTATTAGGGGACTGCAAATTCAATCACATACGTTTCTTTGCCATAGCAACCACACAGAGGCTTCTGATTGGTCGCAATTACATGCGATCCTTTTCTGATGCATCTTTGCGACTATGGGGGCAGTTTGTGGGCCATCTGTAATGGTCCCCCGTTACGATTAGTACTTGTTATTATTATCCTGCATCTCAACTGACTGTCTTGTGTTCTGTTTTCCTAAAATGTTAAATAACTCTGGAAATATTGCAACATCAAGAAAGCATGTGTCTGGAGTACTTTCAGTACTTTAATAGGGGAGATAACTTGCAGTGTTCTTCAAAAGTAAAGTAACTTTCACAGGAACAAGATGGTTACACAAATTAACCCTCGTGATGAATGATAATTTCAGCACCCTACTTTCAGAAATTCTTGTTCTGTCAACGATACCAAATCAACAAAGCAAGAAAAACTAAACAAACAACAAAATCCAGATATCAGTTTAGAAAATGTATCTATTTTCTTGTTTTACAAATATCATATTGGCATCACCAAATATTGATGATGTACGTAATACACAAATAACAGTGATGAATCGTTGTAGAGAAGTATCATATAAAAGTAGTCCAGTACACGACTGCTGACACCTAACACATTAACACAAATATCTCGTACAGTACCATATGGCTGTCATTGTCAAGTAAAAGTTATCTGTAGGAGCACCATTACATCAATTTCCAACATTTGTCCAGTTTCTGAACTTCAGGGACTGTGTTTAAGACACGAGTCTTAACTTGATTGTTATTGGAGATTTCTCAACTATATATAAAACTTTGTGGTCCGTTAGCACCCAGAGTATATAGATAGGTCAATCATTCAAGGTGAAACAAATAAGGTGCTAATGAAGGAATGTTTCCCATTGAACAACCACACTTCCTTTAGAGCTCCCACAAAATGTTAGTTAACTGTTTTCAATGGATCAACAGCATTCTATGCAGCAGCTATTGATTGAAACATAACTGTATGTAATCCCAGGTATTTTAAGAATTTTGTAAATATTTAGTAAGTTCAATGGTAGACCATTAGGATCAAAGATAAGTTTTGTCTAGTTTTACTGACAATTCTGTTACAAGCAAGATAATACATGCATCTTCACAAATGATTCTAGTAAATATACATATAACTGGGTAATGCTGCTTGAATTTATTTTGTTGTATCAAGTTAAAATTCTGTCAATATTTTTTTCTGGATAATATGTATTTGTTTTACCGAGATTCAGAATATAATTGAATATATATATATATTGTAATATATTAAAATAAACCTTGACTTTCTTTCAAACGAAAAAAAATCTACATAACTTTAGCACAACACTAATGAGGGTCTTGATCAATCAACAGATAAAATGATACAATACGGATCTATCTGACATAAGAAAGTACTAAGAGATTTCAATACAAGTGGAATGAATATAAATGAGATAATTATTGGTATGGATTTGATATATACAATATTTACAGTATGAGGAAGATATTGCACTATTATCTGACATGCAGGCATTCTGAAGCTAACTTTCACCATCATACACACTTTCATAATTGTCCCTCGCTTCTAATAATTTAACGTAAACAAATAAATACCTACAAGTCACATTCATCATCTCTCTTGAAACATGTCGAAAGTTTTCGAAAATGATGAAAGCAGATCTTTGATGCAATCTCATTATTGGTCAACTTCTTCCAGAAATGATCTCAATCCAACATTGCCCAAACTTCTATGGCTTTAAAGGTAAATCATCTCATTTATATATTTATGTATGTATCTCCCTTTTTTCAATTTTACAATTCAGAACTTCTCGGGAGGTAGAGTTAAAATAGGAATGAAAAATAAGGAAATAATAATATCTAAAAATAGCAGTTAATCTACTGAGTAGCTGCAGATTTTTCCGAGAACTTTTTCTAAAGATAAATATTACAGAACTATGCTATAAGTTAGTCTGATATAATTTTTTATGACAAATGAAATGTTCATGTTGATTTTTTTCTTTTTTTAAAAATTTTGTATAAATTTTGCAATATCATGTCTTATTGATGAAATAAATCCTTTTCATTGTTGAGAAGCATTATGGCCTATTTGGAGTATCATTTTAAAAGTTTGCCTGATGAGCTGAAATCTGCACCTTGTAAAGATCTGCTTTCAGTAAGCCCTATTATCAATTCCATCTATAGCACTTGGTGAATATATTGCATTTGTCGGAGGTTTTCTTGGTCTCAGCTGTCGGATTCTCCAGCTTGTGGTATCACACGAGGATATAACTGCAAAAGAACAAACACATATTAACTACTGCAACCTGTAAGATTGTAAGTTCAAAGAATTGGATAGCGAAACCTGGCTGTATAGCACAAGAGAACAAGAGTACCGTGGGGCGGAACAATATACGCCCTTCGAATGCCATATAGTGTTACATACTTTCTTACATTGAAATAAGATATGCATCATTCTATGAGTGGTTACCCCTCATGCTATAAAAATGTAGAAGAAAATCTGCGGACAAAAAATCAAATACTGAAATGAACAAAGGGCAATCACTTTTGCAAAAATCGTTCAATCTAAATTCTTTTAAGCATGACACAACTTCATATCATGATTATAATGTATACAAAGTTTCAAAGAGATACGTTGAAAAATGCAGGAGGAGATTGCCGGACAAAAATCAAATATTGAAATAAACAAAGGGCAATAACTTTTGAAAACATTGTTGAATCAAAATTCTTTTAAGGGAGACACAACTTCATTTTATGATTATAATGTATACCAAGTTTCAAAGAGATTGGTCGAAAAATGTAGGAAGAGATTGCCGGACAAACAAAAGTTTACATCGGGCGGAAGGACGGACAACCCCATACCATAATACTTCCGTCAAATTTGACGGGCGTATAAAAAAGCCAGGGCCCCACAAGGGATATTCACTGTGTATTAACCATAATATTAGAGGGAATACACTTCCTATACATTGACAGTAAAACCCTGTTTACTCAAACTCTTAGGGTCCAGATCAATAGTTCGAAGAATACATGGTATTCGACGAATTTGAGGTTCGACCGTCAAAAGCCAGTACCAAAGGTGTTTGAAATTAATCAAGTTTAATCAAGATGACAGCATTTAATAAGATTTAAAATAGCTAAACAATAAAAACAAATAGCCACTGGTATTAAGAAAGTGAATAAAAAGCTGAATGTATAACGTACTTGTCGTTTTGACATAGTCTGCCATACTGTAATCGGCTACGATAATTTTACGAAATATCAAAACAAGAGGAACTCTTCGATCATTTAAAAATGAAGAAAATCTTGAATCCTTGTAATCATGATGTTGATTGATAACTAAATGAACCTGCTTAATATTGTCATGACACAATATGGTTTTACACACCAAGTGAATTGACTGGAAAAAATAAATATGCACACAAAATGATAATGCAGCTACAACAGGGTAACGGTACAGTTCCTTAATGATACTGCCGTTAATCCTCTAATTAGCTGACGTCCAGCTGACACCTCTATAAGCGCAATGAGCGTGGACCGCAGCCTGTGCCTCGAGACATATCCACGCCAGTACCTGTGTTACGCAGGTAAAATTTTTGTTGGGCATGATAGGTGATCACACCTGTTCGACGGATACCAGGTAGGTAGGATAAATACTATGACAATGAAGATTCGGGGACAAATTTTTGCTGGAGGAATACGGGGTATTTGAGGAATAACTGTTCAACTTACGAACTTGGTTGGGACCAAACGAACTATTTGATGAATGAGGGGTATTTGAGCAAACCCAGTTCGAAGAAGTGGGGTTTTATTGTATCTTACAGTAAACATGTCTTGTTCCTAAAGGATCATTACATCTGAATTTAACCCAGGCAGAGATGTAATATACTCACCCCCAGTAAGTTCCTTGGTATGTAGCCATCTTTTTTGTCCATTTTGGACCACCACCATTCCTTTTCCTTCTCGTCTCCCTTTCTTAGGATCATTATTTTGTCCCCGATGGTGAAACTCAGCTCATCGCTGTTCATCGCCTCGTAATCAAACACTGCCCAGGTTGCTCCATTGTTCATGATCCCAAGTTTCTCCTGAATACCTGTACACAAAGGGTAACAAAACGTAAAATCATATAAATAGGTTTCCCATGGTTAATACATGTATGAAGAAAAGCACTGTCAATAGTGGTAAGTTATGACAAGTTAAAAGTCATTTATCAGTACAAAACAAAAATCACTGAAATAATTCGTAGGAAACATAGAAACCAAGAGTATGTGACTTACTGTATAGGTATATGTGACTTACTGTATAGGTATATGTGACTTACAGTATAGGTATATGTGACTTACTGTACAGGTATATGTGACTTACTGTATAGGTATATGTGACTTACTGTATAGGTATATGTGACTTACTGTATAGGTATATGTGACTTACTGTACAGGTATATGTGACTTACTGTACAGGTATATGTGACTTACTGTACAGGTATATGTGACTTACTGTACAGGTATATGTGACTTACTGTATAGGTATATGTGACTTACTGTATAGGTATATGTGACTTACTGTATAGGTATATGTGACTTACTGTACAGGTATATGTGACTTACTGTACAGGTATATGTGACTTACTGTACAGGTATATGTGACTTACTGTACAGGTATATGTGACTTACTGTACAGGTATATGTGACTTACTGTACAGGTATATGTGACTTACTGTACAGGTATATGTGACTTACTGTACAGGTATATGTGACTTACTGTACAGGTATATGTGACTTACTGTACAGGTATATGTGACTTACTGTACAGGTATATGTGACTTACTGTACAGGTATATGTGACTTACTGTACAGGTATATGTGACTTACTGTACAGGTATATGTGACTTACTGTACAGGTATATGTGACTTACTGTACAGGTATATGTGACTTACTGTACAGGTATATGTGACTTACTGTACAGGTATATGTGACTTACTGTACAGGTATATGTGACTTACTGTACAGGTATATGTGACTTACTGTATAGGTTTATGTGACTTACTGTACAGGTATATGTGACTTACTGTATAGGTATATGTGACTTACTGTATAGGTACTCGGAGCAGCCGTCGAAGCCATCCTCCTCCTCCTCACACTTCTCAGCAGCCGTCTCCTGGTCACTGATGGTGGTGGCGAAGATACAGGCACCATGCTCCACCAAGAACTTCACCATGGGTAGGTTGTTACAGGAGGCTGCACAATGAAGAGGAGTCCTGGGGAGAGAGGCAATAACCTTTACATAAAACCTAACTCAGAGGAAGGAATATTTAAATGTTTCTCAACTTATCTATTTATTTAACTTTGAAAAAGCATGTACATGTAATAACAATCAATTGTTTTTATAGATAAAATTGTCTATCCCACTGTATATATTATATATGTAATAACAATCAACTGGATTACTTCTCTTCATCCATTAATGAAATTGACTATCCAACTACATACAATTGAATGTATCATCTATCCCACTCTACATATATTTACAAACATTTGGATTACTTCCCGTTATCTGTCCCACTTACCAGCCATCACTGTCAGGTGAGTTTACATCACAGCCAAACTCCACAAGGAATTTAACGATCTCATAGTGTCCAGCACAGATGGCGTTGTGTAGAGCCGTGATTCCCTCATCATTGGGCTCACTCACATCATGGACCTGATAAAGATACAATACTTGAGTATTAAAATTGATCGGCATCTTTGAAAATAAGATTGGGATTTTGAAAGTTACCTGCACTTTGTTCAAATAGCAAATATAGGTACTCAGTTAATGAACTTAAGAAAGAGGACAGATAAGTTCCATTTCTGAGCATCTCTTAACTGAGTATCCCTATGTACAATATCTTTAATATTTTCAGTAGCACATATCTCAAGAATACTTAAGCTGGTCATCTTGAACAGGTAATTATAACCAAACAAGGAAGAGGAAAATGGGAAACCCTACGAGAGGCTGTATTAAATGATTACCTGAGAGGCGCAGCGCTTGACCAGTTCCAGTTCTCCCTCCAGTGAGGAGTCCAGCAGCAGGGCCAGAGGATCAAAGCTCACACGATTCCCTGACTTTTTAGCATTACGGTTTTTCAGGTTTGTCTTTTTCTTTACTGGTTGGTCAGATGTGACAATCTGAAGACTGGCAGGACTAGATGTTTTACTTCCATCTGAGCCGTCCGCTGGCTTGCCCTTGTCTGATAGGTCAATGAGGTTACCCATTCCATCTACAGGGACGTCCTCAGGGACTTGGTCTTGGAAGGACGTGGCCTGAGTGTCATACCCTCCAATGTGACGTCCCTCCCCGGTCTCCTGGGATGTGTACCCCGACTGGTTCTTGTAGCGGTCCACATACTTGTGAAGTAATTTTGTGATGTCTTCATTGTCACTGTCAGAGTGCCGTCGGCGAAGGTTTACATGTTTATGTGTATGCCGATTGTGACTGACCTTATCAGAAGCAATGTCTGTATATTGTGGAGAGGTTGGAGGTGAACTAGGCTTACCTCCCTTAGGGGAACTCACTGGTGGTGACAGTGACTGGGAGGCTGAACTTGACGGTGGTGATAATGAGTTAGCACTGTTTGGTGGTTTTTGATTCGTGTTTGTGTGAGATTTGTCCTCACTGGACTTATTTGTTTTTGCACCATCTTTCTTGGATATATTTGTATACATCATGTTGATGTTTTGTTGGTACTTTTTCAGGGCCTCAGGGCCCAGCTTACCCATGTATGTGTTGGCTATCACATTTTTAGAGGCGTATTTGTATTTAGGCTGCTGTTTAGAACTGCTCCCTGAATCACTGTTGAGAGAAGAATCAGACCCATTATTACTGTTGGTGTCCTTCATGGAATCTGTTTGATCATAGGAACGTGCATTTTGCTGTGAATGGGGGTAGGGAGGAGGTGCCCCTTGTTGTTTATTTGGGGGTACAGAGCCCCCCGGGTAGGGGGGCGGGTGTTTGTTTGGCCCTCCATGACGTGTAGAAGCACCGTTATTAGTATTAGAACCGTTTGTCCCATTAAGCAAAGGAGTCTGTTTCTCCGAACGGTTTGTGGATTGATGGTCAGAGGGGTAAGCACTGTTTTCTTTTTGAGAACTGTCACTTGATGCAGGTGAACTTTGTCCACTGCCCCCAGTACGTATGTCCTCCGCTATTGTGATTGTAGGACCCCCCTGTTGGTCACTTGGACCCCTGTTTAGCACAGAGGTACTGTACGTTGACCCAAACGGCCTTGCCGTAAGATAAGTCAAATTTGTTGTACCTGCACGAGCAGGGATTGGTGGCGGAGGGTGTTTACCTTGTTGCTGCCCTGACGTTGAATACTGGGGTTGTGATGGCGTTTGCCTTGTCTCCTTATGAACATGTTCAGATGGGGCATACCCATTTTCTTTTGGCACACTTTTTGATGGATCAACTTTTGCTGTTAAGGTTTTAGACTTGAGTTCCTCTGGTCCCTTCATCACTGTATTATTATTAGGCTCAGGCACATTTTCAACAGATTTAAGCTGTTTTTTGGAGGTATCATCAGAAGAATTCATCACAAACTTTGAACTCACAGGTAACGACTGATATTTAGGATCTGCTTTATGGAAAGTTGGATCTACATTTCCATTTAATTGATCTTTTGGCACAATTTGTACGTAAGGTTCCACAGCTGCCACATTGTTCCGCGTCGGTTTATTCCCCGATTTGTTATCTGACTGCTGATTGGCCAGTTTTTTCTGTTGTTCAGCCTGCTGGGCACGTTTCTTTTTCAGTCTTTGTTGCAACTCCAATATTCTGTTGTCCATTTTAGAAATTTCATCTTTTCGCTGCTTCAACATATCCTTGTGATTCTTCAGTTTGCTACTTTGTTGTTCATTCAGTTTATNAGTTACACCAAGTACACAAATGGCTCTTTACATTCTGTCTAGTTACACCAAGTACACAAAGGGCTCTTTACATTCTGTCTAGTCACACCAAGTACACAAAGGGCACTTTACATTCTGTCTAGTTACACCAAGTACACAAATGGCTCTTTACATTCTGTCTAGTTACACCAAGTACACAAAGGGCTCTTTACATTCTGTCTAGTAACATCAAGTACACAAAGGGCTCTTTACATTCTGTCTAGTAACACCAAGTACACAAAGGGCACTTTACATTCTGTCTAGTAACACCAAGTACACAAAGGGCTCTTTACATTCTGTCTAGTTACACCAATCACACAAAGGGCACTTTACATTCTGTCTAGTAACACCAAGTACACAAAGGGCTCTTTACATTCTGTCCTTCACAATTATTTTATTTACTGGAAGCAATTAAATTATCTCTAATTCTGTTGATATTTAAAGCAATAATTCCATTAAAATGTACTATGCTGAAAACAAATTTTTGAGATGTATTAAATAGCCCCAAGCAATTATATAGAAACAGAAAATGTAGAAAACATGAATAAATAGCTCTAACAAACACAGAGAATAACTGAATTTCTTTAAGCTTCAAGTTATCAGGTTAAGAATTCATTTGGCTCTCTAAATTATGAAAACTGACCATCAATTCCTTTTTAAGTTTGTCTAGTTCAAGTTTGGCTGCACTCTGACCAGCTGTTTTGCTGACCGAATCCTTGTCGTGTTTGATATCCTCTAACTGACGGGTCAGCTCCTCTACTTTAGCCACAGCCATGACCAGCTCCTTTTCCTTCTCACTGAACAGGGACTTCACACTTTCCAACTCCGAATCTGTAAGGAGAACAACATTACGCTTATGAGACTCTCCAACTCTGAAATTTACACTAATGGTGATTTAGACTCTCTAACTCTGAATATATAAACAACATTTACACTAATGGTGATTTGGACTCTCTAACTCTGAATATATAAACAACATTTACACTAATGGTGATTTAGACTCTCCAACAGTGACTCTATGAATCTCTAAAGGAAACAACACAATACATGTGGCAATCAAATCTATCTGGAGAACAGTGATACTATATGTTCCCTTAGTGAACTATAGCTTGATACTTGCCTACAACCAAATGTTATGGCAGCAGCAATTAAACTACTTTAATCTGCTTAAAACTTAATTGCAATGAACATCTTCACTTTTTATTTCATCATAATCTCCAGTCTCCAACACTCAACATTTTAATAATTTATTTTTGACATTCTCATTTTTTTATTCTGTCACTAGAGACTTCACTGTGGATTTCCTATATACATAGTAACCTTCCCTGATCAATCATTGACCTGGTATCTGAGTTGGTGAGTGAGAGAACCAGACATAACAGTCTGAAGTCAAGGGTTCAAATCCTGGCCTGGAACAGTCACAAGTTCTCACGCAGAACACTGTTGTTGATTATATTTAATTTTGTATATTTTAACTTTTTTTTTATATAATTCCCTGAAGGTATGATTTTCTTTTCAGAAGTGATTTATCAAAGCAATAGTCATGCTGTAAAAAGTGTTCAATGCATATTCACAGTTTTTGGCAGTGTAAAGGGATAGCTTAATGGTGGTTACCAAAACACGTTGCTCATTTATCATCAAAGGACTGTTTTAAAACTAACATTGATGTGTCACACCAGTATCTCTGCCGATATACAAGAGAGCAGAGACCTTGATTAAAACATTACGCTTTGAATAAAAACAGTCGAACATTTCCTGTTAGCTTGCTTAGAGGAAGTGATCTTGTTATTATCAAAGTCTAGGATTAAATACAAGATGAATGAAATATGTAAGTAGAGAATTTCTATGCATTGAGGTTTTTGACATACAATGATATAACAAATAATGTTCATTTTATAAGACTGAAAATATCACCAATATTACAGCATAACAACTATTCCATTACTTATAGTATAAAGTATTATTACAAATTGTTGGGGACAGATATCACTGCACTGTACAATATTTATTGAGGAAAACACAAGGGTTGAAATTCTCCTGAATTGTTAAGACAAAACTAAGTGGTATACGTATATGTCCATGAAGGACCTCAACTTCAAACACTTCAAGTATCTGTAATGTACAACAGACTTTACAATTACCAGCACTTATAGTAATGTTGTGTTTCCCTTTTAGTTGTATTTTTAACATTAGTTTTACACAGGATGAATATAAGATATGACAAAATTAAAAGATTTCACTTCAAATAATTAAAACCTCAGAAAACTTACTGATAGATCCGTTGTTGTTTTTGTATTTCTCAGCCTCCCCACGGAGAGCACGTAACTTTTTTAACTTCATTTCCTGATTTTCCACCTTCTCCCGCAGTTTCTTAAGTCTGTCGTTTTCAGCAGCGATGTGTTGGTGACGAGCCTCCTGTTGTTTGAGGTACTTTAGGCGTTGTTCCTTGGCTACCAGGACCTGTTGTTGGTGCTCAATCTGCTGTTGTTGGCGAGACGCCATTTCCTGGAGCTCACTCAACGTCAGGTCAACACCTCCCGGCAACTAGAAAATATAAAAGAACACCAAAATATAGCTGGAGATGATAAGAAATAAATGTAACACTGTTGAGTTTGTATTATTCTTCAACTCTCCATTAATGAACTCTGGTATACTCACACATACACACAACGGGAACAATGAAACTTAATGAATCGCAAACATATAACAACTTGATATAATTGAGCTTATATTCATACGTAGAATAGCAATGACGGGAAACAAACACTATGACAGAGTTGGAACAAAAGTATCGGACAGAACTTTACAACCGCTATCCTGTTCCATGACAGAGTTGCTGTCACACATGAACGCTACTGGCAAGTAGCTCCAATACTAGGCTATATACACAAATGACTTTTCGATCTCCCAGCGTTGTTGATCCTTGGGGAACAACATTGTGATGATGTAGAGCAGTAATTACATTAATCCTGTGTCCAAAGCCAGCCTGCTTAGCACTATACATAAACTGAAACTTATTTCTTATAATAAAATAAGCTGATTGCATTTCAAAATGTTTATCTTAATGCAGCTATTTTGATCCAAATACAATCATAAACATCTGGTTTTGAATTTCAAAATGTATCATTATGAGAAAATTATTCATCAAATCTTGGACATGATTATGTGTGTAAGCTGATAGTGCTATTGTGAATCAGTACCTGTATATGTGTACACTGACACGGGAATCAATAACTCTCACCATTCTCTCACACCTACTGTTCCTCCTGACATAATCCTCACATATTTGTCAACTATTTCATTAATTAATTAAATCATCAATTGATGACCTTTGTGATGTGGTCCCTAAGGCAAGTCGGCTGTAATGGATACTGACATGAACTGCCAAGCAATCAACATCATCAATATCATTACCAGCTACAAGTAATGTATAGACTTCTATCCCTTGGACAGAATGTGAATGGGAAAAAGATTTGGCAAAATTTGCTGTGTTAGGATCACGTGATGTGAATATTTCCTGTATTAGGGGTCAAATGAAGGACAGTTTTCAGGTGAATGTCCCGAGAATATATCTAAATTGGTTAATATTTCATACAACATTCTCCCTGTAAGGATGCTGATACATAGAGCCATGTCAACCACATCCACGACAAAACACAGACCAGTTTTTATGGGAGTCACTCTATCACAAATCAAAATTCCAAATCTGTTATATCTATATGAAGATATAAACATCCTTTATATGTTACATCACTGTTTACAAATACTGAATTATATTTGTACAGTTAAACTTTATCATCATAACGCTAGTTTTTGGTTTATTAATAAAAAACCTATATAACAAACTTGTTAGATAAATTAAAAGTAACTAATCTGCAAAAAGGTAAGTTCACAAGAAGCTTTCCTTTCATCTTTCTGTCCCCCTAGCTAAATGTAGCGAGAATGATCTTGTATTTGATACATGTTTCACCGTCCTTCCTACAAGACGACCACTACAAAATGTCCGACAGTCATTGACTTAGCCAGCATATGAAACATATATTTGTAGGTCAAACAGATATCACACACGATCAATCTTAATTCTTATCTATATAAATTATTCTTTTTGTCATGTTCTGCATGAAATTGAAAATGTATGGTAGAAATTTTAAGTAGAAAATGGTTGATTAATGCCATATACTTCTGAAAATACCTTTCCATGAATCAGAATCTGAAGTTTTGAAAAGAAAAATTCCAACAGGCTATTACGCAGGCTAAGTGTTTTCGGGACACATTTTTTAAGCATATGATATTCTGATAACATTTACCGTAGCTATATAGAGGGTGATACAAGTATGCACACTACCTACCATTGGCATTGCTAACGAGTCAGGAATATATCAGAGCTGTCAGGTGTTGATAAATTCCACTAAGGTGACACCTTACCTCCAGGTGCAAAATTTGTCAACAAAAAACAACAGTGAGAAATTGGCAACCATTGTCTACCTATGTTCTAGTACAGGTGTTCCAAAATTCTTTGCAATTTTTTTTTTTTGAAATTTCCATGTGTCAGTCAATTTCCAACAGCTTCACAATGATTGATATCCAGGAAACGTAAAAATGTCCCATTTTCTATAGATAGTCCAAGAAAGCATGTACAAAATAACTGCAGCACAGCTCTTAACTTGCTGAGTCTGAGCTGGAAAACATCTTGGTCTGTATATAGGTCTAATGAAGATGTTGAAGGAGAAACACTGCTATTAAAGGGACTCGGCAGAGAATAAAGGTGATTTGTTTACCTACCAAACATTGACTTCAGGTTCAATAATGTCTCTGATCAATGGTTATCTCCCCTTAGTCTGCTGGTGTTTGTTAGCACGGTGCCTATACAGATTACGATGGTAACACATTTTGTACAGAACTTGTGTACATAATGTTAGCCCTTTATCTAAGCTGGTATGGGAATAATCATGTAATACCCAATAACATTGTTACACTGTTTGCTGATATTTTTGCTCAATATTTGTACAGTGTATACTTAGAGGTAATATATCTCATTTTTAGACAATATTTGTACAGTAATGCTTTTGACTAACATCTTGTTTCCTTTATGTTCAGCAAGGGTAGTGCAAGCAATAAACACCAGGAACTACAATAAAACCAGCAATGTGTGAATTTTGTGGCAATGTTTCTTTCTTAAAAACTCTCGATAAATCTATTTTAATATGTGCTTTTCCTATTTCATGGTACATTACGTAAGCATCAAAACATACTGTATTTAAAAAATGTTTTACATACACTGACAAATCTCAACACATTAGAATGTACAAATCACTTTTTATGGTCTAAATGTGTCCTCTTGTAGCCTATAAATATTTCTAGATATGCAAAAATTACACCACACCAAAATTACCATAAATAAATAATGTGTCCTTTACATGTCATATCATCTATACAGGGTATAGGGTTAATTGTTAACTGTCATTTATTGATGAAACCCTTCTTTCACAACTTTGTGGTAAATAATGAAAAGCAAATCAACACCACACCTGATCGTTCCTATAACTAACATGAGTTAACAGGTAGAACAAATCCTGCGTGTGATCAGGTTAACAAGGACAGGAATCCGACCACATCTTTTGATGTTGTATAATTACCTGGTTATTAATTCTTTGTGAGACTGGGTACAGACCAACCTATTTACCTAAAGCTTTATGGTAGATTTTCCTAAAGCTCCGTCAATATTGATACTGAGATACCATTATAGAGTTGAGTGGAGAGGAGCTAAATTACTGATTAGCAGATCTCACAGAACCTCACTGATAGCTAGAGACATTTTAAGGACATAAGTATATAATGTCTACCAGTTGTGTACCTAACACCTGTAAAATGTGGACAATCTTCAGTATAATGTAGCCTTTACACCCAACAACTGTGGTCGTGGACACAGTCGGATTGTCATTAATCACAACAACATATGTCTGGGTGTACTATAACCACAGCAGTGGATTCAAGCACAAGTAAATCTTACCTACCAACACCATATACTTGATTTATTTCCCAGATGACAAATTAACATCTGTCTTTACAAAATGTGTCTGAGCATTAAATTACAATCATTTTTCAGGTAAAGTACAAAGACTACCTTTGTATCTGTGAACTACTTGAACCTCTTTAAAATTTGTGTTTCGTTTCTAATGAAACTGAACAAATTAAGATACAGCTGTTCATTGGCACACCTAGACAAAAATACTGAAATTCATATTTACTGCACTGAACAATTATTTTAGTAAAATTACATTGCATAAGGTTGACCTTGTAAAGATTCAGTAAGTACGTGAAACAAGAAAGAGAGTCCGCAAAAGAAAACTTACATAAACCACAAAATTCATATTGTTGAGTTTTTTCAAGGGCAAGCTTCTACATCCATTTCATCAAGGTGTAACAGATTCCTTCGTGTAATCATAGGTGTGTGTTCCCGGACTAAAAAATTAACACTGAAATTTTCTGAGGCTTGATTTATCTCCTTTGTTATATTGCATCTGCCCAAGAAGTTAGCTGACATTTCAATAATATATGACCAGGGGCGATATTTTACATATTTTTGCTCTAATCAAAACAATACTGGGTGTCATGCAGCACAGTCAGGCACAGACATGCACTTGTGGCAATTTCTTAATTGCAATAAATCTGTTCCTTTCTCTCCAGAACACAATGAACTTCCTGTGATTAGTCTGTACAAGATGTACATAATAATCTGTCTCCTAGCTGTTTACCTGATCATTACAACAATGACAGTGTACAGATTGTATCAGTATTTCCTGTACTATCAGTGTTATAGGCATTGATCTCCCACACCTGAGTATAATTGGCAACAAATGCCCATGCAATGTACCTAGTCACATGAAACACCTTTTAATCTTTGTTTAATCAGAAACTATAAACTCTTGTGTAATGTCACAATCAAACTTAAAGCCTAGTGTATTGAATGAAATAAAACCAGCTTTGCTTGCTTTCTCCCACAGTGTTTGTTATTACAAGGGGTAAGCCAAATATTGACATGTCTGGGGTAGGTATATAGTATAGACTCTAAAAGGAATAGTTTCAATGCAGTGTCTAGATATATACACACGGCGTGGACGTCAGTGGAGAAAGTCTTATTTGAAATCAATGATGTGCTCCAATCATCTCCATAAACTATACTGAATCTTTTTCTCCCAACATGCATGTACATTTAAAGATCCTCTTCACAATAAAATGGTTTCACTGTAACACACACATATATTTGATGTCAGGAGAAACAATTTTTTATTCAAAATCAAGGAAATGCTTTGCTTACATTTAGAACATTAATTGAAAAATTTAACATTTAGAACAATCATTATAAAAGATTACAATCGTGAGGTTGATATTGACTTGAAACACCTCTGATAATTTAAGGTATTCTGGGAAAGGACATTTTAATGACATGACACATGTCACACATATATTAATGTATATCCTATTGATGATGCACTGTTAAACTTCCCACCATGAAATGTTTGATGACAACAGTAATGATGTATAAATAGTAAAAATAGAAAATTTACATGTTGACTTTACACAGTCACATTTAAAACAGTCTGTAATTTGAGTTAAATGTTAATGTGCATGTCATGAAAATACAAAAACAAAACGCTGTCATCATGTTTGGAACTTTGTCAAAATTTGCACACCAGACAAAATGTCAAACAGTCTGGAACACACTTCAGTGTCTACAGTAGAGATCCTTTAACTGTTGAAGGTCATAATAGTACAGAGTCTGGAACACACTTCAGTGTCTACAGTAGAGATCCTTTAACTGTTGAAGGTCATAATAGTACAGAGTCTGGAACACACTTCAGTGTCTACAGTAGAGATCCTTTAACTGTTGAAGGTCATAATAGTACAGAGTCTGGAACACACTTCAGTGTCTACAGTAGAGATCCTTTAACTGTTGAAGGTCATAATAGTACAGAGTCTGGAACACACTTCAGTGTCTACAGTAGAGATCCTTTAACTGTTGAAGGTCATAATAGTACAGAGTCTGGAACACACTTCAGTGTCTACAGTAGAGATCCTTTAACTGTTGAAGGTCATAATAGTACAGAGTCTGGAACACACTTCAGTGTCTACAGTAGAGATCCTTTAACTGTTGAAGGTCATAATAGTACAGAGTCTGGAACACACTTCAGTGTCTACAGTAGAGATCCTTTAACTGTTGAAGGTCATAATAGTACAGAGTCTGGAACACACTTCAGTGTCTACAGTAGAGATCCTTTAACTGTTGAAGGTCATAATAGTACAGAGTCTGGAACACACTTCAGTGTCTACAGTAGAGATCCTTTAACTGTTGAAGGTCATAATAGTACAGAGTCTGGAACACACTTCAGTGTCTACAGTAGAGATCCTTTAACTGTTGAAGGTCATAATAGTACAGAGTCTGGAACACACTTCAGTGTCTACAGTAGAGATCCTTTAACTGTTGAAGGTCATAATAGTACAGAGTCTGGAACACACTTCAGTGTCTACAGTAGAGATCCTTTAACTGTTGAAGGTCATAATAGTACAGAGTCTGGAACACACTTCAGTGTCTACAGTAGAGATCCTTTAACTGTTGAAGGTCATAATAGTACAGAGTCTGGAACACACTTCAGTGTCTACAGTAGAGATCCTTTAACTGTTGAAGGTCATAATAGTACAGAGTCTGGAACACACTTCAGTGTCTACAGTAGAGATCCTTTAACTGTTGAAGGTCATAATAGTACAGAGTCTGGAACACACTTCAGTGTCTACAGTAGAGATCCTTTAACTGTTGAAGGTCATAATAGTACAGAGTCTGGAACACACTTCAGTGTCTACAGTAGAGATCCTTTAACTGTTGAAGGTCATAATAGTACAGAGTCTGGAACACACTTCAGTGTCTACAGTAGAGATCCTTTAACTGTTGAAGGTCATAATAGTACAGAGTCTGGAACACACTTCAGTGTCTACAGTAGAGATCCTTTAACTGTTGAAGGTCATAATAGTACAGAGTCTGGAACACACTTCATTGTCTACAGTAGAGATCCTTTAAATGTTGATGGTCATAATATTATGTGTCAATCAAAGTTTATACTCTCTTTGCCACCTTGGGAGATATAAAATCAACCTTCCAATTACACTATATTGCAGAGAGTGTGAAGAAGGGTTTGGGTAATGAGAGATGGTGGCTGGGAGGGTAGTGCGGCTTGTGGAGGGAGGAAGTGGATGTGAGCTAAAATTTGGAACCAATTCAATTGTTGACATGATTAAATATTGAAGTTACTATGATGTGAGAGTGAATCGGTCCTCAAACCACCCCGCCAGCCTTAACTCTGGTGCCCTACTCCCAATTACAGTCCAATTCGTGTAGTATCATTTTACCCACATGCAAATAGAAAAGGTACTATCAGGCGACATGAAGAGGTCTAGCTGTTTCCATGTGACGCTTTACTGTGAATAAATTTCAGGTACTGTACATAGAGATATTAGTTACAACCTATTGGCTAAATAACTGTATTCCTTCTGATGTTCCCTTCATACATTACCTTCTACAACCAATAATATATCAAATGCAAGCTCCTATCATCATCTTTATATTTAAAATGCAGCTATTTGAAAGTATATATCAGATGTCAACATTTGAAATCCTGCCAAGATTACTTGTTATTACACGACCCATTCACGAAAGAAAAAGCAAAACATTAATTTGGCTCAAATCTTAAAATGTTATCATCTTGCGTCAATTTCTCGATATATATGTTATTCATTTCCTGTTGTAGATTTCTTGATTAGAATATTCATGACTTATAATGTATATGTGATTGCAGTACGTGAAGCACCGGAAAGCCTGTTTTATACAGTTATAATCACATTGTCTGTATATACACATATAAAATGTCTCCACCTGTAATTATAGACAATCAATAATGACACACAAAAAGTGAGTTCTGCTAAAACTATATTCACTGGAAATATTATCGTTTATACATTTTTTCTTCTAAATTCCAGGAAATTCAGGACAGTTTAATATGAGCATATAACTGTCAGAAATGAAAATGATAATTAAAAGACCACATTATGGCCTTGGGTCATTCTGTGTAATAAGCTGACATTCCTCAGTATTCCTAATGACATCATTACAGTGTGAATGAACACTATATAGAAAACAAGTAGGACGAGGTTTTCATTAATAATTCAACATAAATGTAAACATACAGGTGTGGATATTGATGACAGGTAAGTTGGTACAGACAACCTAACGATTGTCACATATCACACCTGTATGATATTCTAGTAATAATGTACAGGTAAAATTAGGAGAGACGAACTGATTAAATAGCACAGGTATGTGTGTGTTGACACACATGTTGAAGTAATGTTCGTTTTGGCCCACTTCCTCTCCCTCTGTGATTTACCTGTACTTACCATATACCTGTACTACACAGCTACAGGTAACATATAAGACAATACAGACCCTACAGGTAAATGTAGCTAGTACCTACCATCTTGAGGTAGCTCTCTAGTTGAGAGTTGATGTATTCTAGAGCAGGTATATCCCAGTCTTCCTCGTTACTATCATAGGTAAATCTGCCATGCTCTGCCATATTGTCATACCTGAGTCAGGCATGATTCATCCAACCTAATCACACAGATATTTTCCAGGTATATCACACATGTACGCTGTGTCCTACACGTCCAGATGTCACTGAGTGTAGTTTCTATTGTTTCTAGTAAACAATATACCCTCCTACAGGTATGAGTTGTTGAGGTGAGCTGAGAGCGTTACATTGACCTATCTTATTCCAACATGGCTGCCGTCCTAATACAGTACATTCATTCCCGAATATGTTCAATGGAGCATAGGTCCAAAAATAGCCTGCAGGTAACTCGTAGTTGTTGTTGTCTATGACCATCCCATACATGTCCAGGTAAAACCGATTGTTGTGATGGGGGTCCAACAGCAGATCCTACCCACAACACCTACCTGTGCCTGATAGGACAAGGACAGTAATTAACACCCACTAACTAATTCAGCTAACGTTTGCTCATTAGTCTGTGACTGTATAACAACCAACTGTGCTGAAATTAACACAGTAGCATGGTCTTATAATCCAGAATTAGCCCAGGTAAATACTAATCCCTGGCCAGACAGGTAGGGCTGCACAACGATTTCATTCTACACCCGGTTATTATCCACACAGGTATATATATATAAGAGTTTACCGGTTAGATACGAAAGGTATTCAAAAATTTGAACAAGTAGGTCAGGTGTGTCTATATAAAAGTGTGTATGCGTGACTTTCACCCAGGTATTTAATCCCCAGTGTGTGTACAGGTGTGTCTGTATTTACCCTTATAGTAAGGCACTATGGTCAGATCTGTCTACTTGAAATGTTGACTTGTCAGGAAAATTCCTCTGCCCAACTTGTCAGACTATTAATCTTTCTCTTACCACTACACATGTCACGACCAATCATCATATTGATAAAACCACTCTATTTCTGACACTGAATATATCTCTGTAGTTTGTTGATGTATGGTACTGCAATGATTGCTAAACAGATCAGAATACAATCTTGTGGAATGCTCTGGAATAATTGTACTATTATATATATCCATACATGTGAACTCATTTTATAATTATTTCAATATTACTAATATATTACTGCAAAGAAATTTTCGTGTACTAATTTGCAAAATATTTTTCTGAAGTAAACTTCACTAAATAATTATAACACGCAAAGATTCAATATATTCCACGATTTCATCTCCAGTTTCCAGCATTAACATAAAGACCATTAAACGACTAAGGGCAAAACATCTGATTTGTAGGTAACAGAAATATTTTCATACATATTCATGGGAACATTCATCTGTTCAAAGGACATAATTTCTCATTCAATTTCACAGGGTTAACGTTACCACAAATACATTATAAATATTGAGATTTTAAATATATTAATCAAGCCTATGACATAAATTGTTGACAAATATGTTTCCAATACAAGTTTGATTCAAGCTGTATCAAGTTCAGCAATGATGTGAAATAATACCAAATCTGACAAATTTATCTGGTGAGGGAATCATCAAAACACATGCAGACCCCTGTTTTTAACAAGGTATTAGCCACTCTACCTTTTTCTGTTTACATGGTGATAGCCTCCTCTTGCCCTGTAGAAGTTTGAAGAAGTGAAACATCCCAATCACAGTGGTGTATCAAATCACAGTAAAAATTAGGCAGAAGTCAGAGCTGAGAATGTATCTTCAGTCCAAATATCACAGAAAATTAGAGTTGTGAATAATCAGAACTGTGGAAATCTTCAGTAGAAACCTGTCAGAAATCAGAGCTCAGTTCAATCTCTGGTAAAAACCTGACATAACTTAGAACTGTGGCAATCTTGATCAGATCAAATTTTGATACTGATGGAAATTTCAGATGCCAAAATTTCTCTTCAAAATATTACAGACTATAAAGTTTTAACATGTTGGTGCAGTGCTCTGACAGGAGCAGCTAGGATAGTGCCTGAATGTTGTCTCTGCAGTCCGTGTAACATGACTGTAACGATGTACACACACTCATGAGTAATAATGGCAAGTTTTTAGCCACTGGGATGTGAAAATCATCAAATCCTCACACAGACAAGTGTTATCTACGACTCAAGCCATAAGCTGTTGTGAAAATAAACAGACATGTTCCCAAGAACCCCTAATCTGAAGATGGCAGGAGACTATAACATAAACAATGTTTCCATACCCCACCTAGTCCCTGAGCTGTACGGTCCTTAACAATTATGTTCCCTATGTATACCCCACCTAGTCCCTGAGCTGTACGGTCCTTAACAATTATGTTCCCTACCTATACCCCACCTAGTCCCTGAACTGTACGGTCCTTAACAATTATGTTCCCTACCTATACCCCCACCTAGTCCCTGAGCTGTACGTTCCTTAACAATTATGTACCCTACGTATACCCCACCTAGTCCCTGAGCTGTACGTTCCTTAACAATTATGTTCCCTACCTATACCCCACCTAGCCCCACTTCCTCTCTCTAACAGATACGCGGTGTACCAATTCTGACAGTGTCATCAACACCACGCTACATTCATACACATTTGTCAATCTTATCTCTAGTCCATTAATCATTCCATTATCAGGTCATCCTGTAGTGCATTGGGCATCTACCATTTTTTTAAAAATCATTTAGATGTTCTGTTAACTTGAATGAGCTATTACTTGACTCTTATGATAAAGTCACATATGCAATTGAAGAATATTGCTCACAAATGCTGTAGTCATAAATTTCAATACAATATTAAAATCTAGATTTCACGAGTAAAACTTTTGTTTTTAACTACAACTTGATTTTCTAGGATAGAAACATTTTGAATTGAATTAAACACATTTTGCAATTGACAAGAAATTGTTATTCTATAGGTATTATTATTCAATGAGATATATGAATCACCAAATTTCTGTTTTGTTTTTTTGTTTATATTTGGTTCAAATTACAGAAAAGGCAGCATATAAATAGTCTATAATGAAGTTTTGTACTTTGTTTTTCTAACAATGAAATTAACCACATGTTTATCATAAGTTTTCAGAAGGAATTAAGATGTTTACCACAGTATGTTTACCACCTGTTGGTCAACGATACAAAATGACCAGCTGACCACCTGTTGATCGGTAAAATCAAGGAGGTACCACCTGTGATTGTATGACATATTGGTTTGTTCAGCTGAGATCACAGGTAAACACACCTCAATTAAGTCCGCACCTGTCATAGAAAATAATCCCCTGCATTATTTCTTAATCCTGAAAACGTGATTAACATCTAAATCCTACCTAACGTTTTCACAATCCAACGGCATGTGGACAAGTATCTTGTTTTTTAAAGGCTCAAAATATAATGATAATGTTTTCCTGTTTCACCTTTACCAAAGTAAGAACATTTTTCTTGTGGATTATTTTCAAATAATAAAACCTAAGGAAACATTATTCAAAGTGATAACTTGAATACAAAGCTAGAACATGAAAATACTGTTATGACATTTAATGGAAGTTTGAGTTAAAATTCTACAAATGGCATGAACCCCTCAAATATGTGATCCGGTCCAGAGTTAACATTCTCAGGGAGTCCTATAGTCATACACTGAGTTTGTTTCCCCTACTTATGTGGTGTACTCAATCACCTTGTCGTTCTTACTGGGGTTTATAAACAAGGAAACCTGTAATTAACTAAAACAGCAAGTCAGGCGAGAGATGAAGGGATGATAGCTAGGACATCATTTGATCAGGTAAGTATGATATCACATGGGGGTCTAAATCTATCTTAGCAATCTGTTTACAGACTCTGTTTGTGGAAATGGCATCTGACCCCGGGGTTATCTCCTAAACCGTCCCAGTCTGAATCCCCACCCTGGGGCATCAATGTAGACCATTACAATGAACAAATGAGCCTGACCGCTCTCACCCCACAATACTTCAGACCGTTTGAAGATACAAACAGAGACCTATCATTTTACCTCACAAATTACTAGTTAGCTGGGTAAGGGTTATAGCAGATCTGTTCTGAGCACCAAACAGTTTTATTCACAATGAGTATTGTACTGACGATTTGAACCCACTGTTAGTAATTTTCATCACGACTTTGACATAACCACATAATCTTATACAATAATACAGTGTAAACATCAACGTCTGGCACAGTAAACTCGACACTTTATTTAAATGTTGCACCCAACTTTCTTGGCTAAGAATTTAAAAAAAAAAAATTATAAGGGAGATAACTCTTTATGTCTTGAAGGAAAAAATTTACATATTGATAAAGGACAATTTTTCTTTCTTTGAAATTACTTAAAGCAATATTGATTTTAACCAACTAAAGCAGTAATTCTCATGTGACTAAAGTAATGTCATAATGATGATATATACTCCCAGCACACCAGTACACCATGAGCTGCTGGTTTTAATGATAAATTATTTATCCTCCAATCATCAATCTAACATGCAATCAATGACAGCTCCCTGCAAAGGTAATGTGACAGAAAAGTGCATAGGATTTAAAACTAGACTGTTAGATATAAACAAGATGTTTACTTTCTGAACGCAATATCCCAGTGTGTTGGCACCTCCCCAAATTCTTACTGCCCTGAGTAAATTAGGTTTACTACAGATCAACAGTGGGAAAGTGATATTCTGGTCACATACACAGATTACTTTTGTATAAAGAAAACGATACTTGGATTCAACACAATCATTTGAAATGAGATCCCTCAAGGACAAATTCTATAGATAAAAATAATTTTGTTTAAATAAAAAGGGCAATACATGTAAATCCAATATGCAGATTTTTTTAAAATATTTCCAAGAACTTGCAAGGCAAGTTGCAGTGGTTAAGTTTCCGATTATAAAAGGTCCTTGACTTTCACGATACTTGACCATGTTTTCAAGCCAACACATGAATTCAGGCTAACGTGTGGTAAACCACTTGAGAAGGTGTCAAGTTATTCTACAAACACCTGGATATATTTCTTATTTAAACCACAAACTCGCTGGTCCCACAAACAATGGCATCTCAGAACATCAGCCAAAATACTAAACAGAAGTAAAACCTAGCATGTAGAGAGGAATTTAAACAATCACATTGATGTAGTGACAGATTTTTCCAGAATACCTAGACATACATCTTATACTTCTCCACTATCTACCTTATGAAGGATACTTTGATACTGTCTCTCTGAACTCTGTTGTATAGACACACCGACAATCAAATATTCACAGATATCTCCGACGCCCTCAGATGTCGCAATAGGCAACTTTACACAGAGAGACAACCTACTATATCATTAGATGCCAATAAAATCATTTCACCCCTGAACGAACCCTACCTGTTCGGGAAACCCTATCAATTAGCACCTCCAGAGCTTCCCATTCCTATGAATGGTGTCCTGGGGTATGTGTTTCACACGATTATTTGTAAATTGGGTGTAAATTGGCCCCTTCACAACCGGTGCTATAAGTACGGCTATCTCCTGTATATTACTTATATCCAGCATACGTACAGTTCAAACTTTAGAAAGAAACCTCTGACATGATTTTTTTTCTTTATTTTATGTAAACTGGTAACATTTTTTTCTTGAGTGATTTTAAAATGTATTATTTCCTCAGAACTGTAAACATTGGAACCTTTTCAAGTTCAAATACATCCTGG